GCGATACCTAACAATAAATTATTAATAGTACAATTTTTTCTGAAACTCATTTGTTTGTTCAAATATGTTTATTTACATGCAAGTCAAAGCTTAAAATCTATAAGATGTTGTTGCAGTTTATTCTCATTTTTATGACGAAAACAATATTACAAAAATTTGCAATTTGTTTGTTTCTCCTAACGGATATTTTCTTAGTGTTTCTATAGAGTGAGAATGTAATGTGGATATAAAAGTAGCTTTCAAGTTTGTAACCAGGATAAAAATTCATTATAAGTTTTACTAAATATTATGCAAAAGTAATTTTAGTTGGTTAGGAAATTAAAATTATATCCGTGGTCTTAATAAAACAATAAATTTAACTAATTTTTTATAAAAGTTCATCATAATAATATGATATTAACTGAACCTCATAAGGAAATTTGATTTATAATGAGAACATGTGTATGTAATACATATATGTGCATACAGAAAGATAAGTAGGCAATTAAGTATAATGAGTAAAAGTTACCAGCAAAATTACAATAAAAAAGTACTTACAGGAAAAAATTATCAAATCACTAATATGTTCATATATTACAAAATGCATAGATAGTCTTATTTGCCACTATATATGTAACTGCAGAAATTTAAATGCCCAGTAATTAACCTGGACATTGCAGATAATTTTGTACTTATCCCATTGATTCGCGCTTTCCTTCATTATGCATTTTATGTTGCAATAATTACCAACATGATCGTTTCGGAACAAATGTTCCCTCGCTATCTGTTACTATTTTGGAGCGTTCATCAGTCGCGTGCGAGCAATCTTACTAATCTTCGCTTATCGTTGTTCCATTAATCCAATTAACTTAATTACTGGGTTAGGGAAAATCAAATTTGAACGTGGAAAATATTTGCTTTCACTCGCTAATGAGCAAAAGAGTTGATCTGAGGGAAAATGTGTGTTAAAATCTGCATGAGAATCCAATGTTCAAAACGAGGGGAAAAAACCCGCTGTTGCTCTTTCGCTTACCGTTATTATTTGAGAATTGTGTTCAAAAGTGAAATTAACAGGCTTTTAAGTGTAACAAGCGTTCTAACCATTAAAAAAATTGTTCACAGATATGTACAATTTTACCCTTTTTGGATGTTTTAGAAGTTAGTACCTTTAAATACATCATTTTGAAGTGCTAATGGCTTGCCTGTAACCTCGAAAGGAGTAGTTAAAAGAGTTTTAACGCCAGACATCATGTAGGTACTGCGCGTATTATCTCTGGAAAATTACGTTTTCTGGAAACCAAATATTTAGCTGATACTTTCACAGAAACGAATCTGCATTTTTTGCTGTTTTCGCAGCTGTCTAAGTTAGGTTTTTAAGTATGAATATTGCCCTTAGTGCCCATTGATATGGTTTGCGTCATATAATTGAAACATGAAGTGTAAGCACCTGCGGAACTGAATTTGCGAATGACAGCTGGATGAAAGATTTTAGAAGCTAATGCCATTTGCAAAATTACTTGAATATGGATTTGTAAAGCCAAAAGCAACTAATAAATTATGCTTTAAACAGTGAAAACGTTTCAAATTAAACTTAAATTGCCTCAGTCTTACTTCGAATATCTCAGTTTTATTAGACTGCCATTTCATCAAAGGACTTCAAGAATAGAATAGAACAAAAGACATCAGAAAACACCAGCTGCGTTTCATTCACTTTGATACTGCATTTTTACCTGATAACAAACTTATCTGCGAAATTACAAATACAATATGTAGAGTTGCACTCAGACGCAGTGTAAAGAAAATTTATATAAATGGTTCTTTATAAAATGATACTTATTTGGAAAATTTCCAATACTACATGAGCATTTTCTATTCATAAATATTTCTTTGTGAAAATAGGTGCGTTTGTTACCGCATGTACGGAACACAAAAAGTAAAATAAAAAACAAATGTATGGTTAATATACATTATGCTCCATATGTGGCCATTGAAATAGGTCTTCGTTAAACATCAGTTTGTTTTTCTGAATACCCCCTTTCCAAATTTACAATTTCAGTGCGTTTCTCTCCATATTTATAAATAAATATGTTTCTCTCCAAATTTATTATAAATAAAAGGTTTCTATCAGTTACTTCAGTGATATTTAAATGCATCCCATTTAAAATTATATTTATAATAAGAATACAAATAATAACTATTATAACTCGTTTGTTTAAATGCAAAGAACTAATTACTCGTTTTGTCAGCATTTAATATTTGTATGTTATACGAATAGATTACGATGTTTATTATGCTTTAGTAATAAAAATAATTCACTTTCTTTGTTTTCAAGCAATTACCGTAATGCAGTTCTCGGGATTTTAAATTAATAAGCATATTTTAGATAAGAAAATTTTAAACGTTTTGCAATTTTGTAAAACTTTTTTAGGACATTTCTTTTTTCGATGTTAAGTAAAAAATAAGAACTTTTCCTGAAAAATGGCGAAGACTGTTATCAAAGGAAATGTAGATTAAAAGTCTTTCAAAGTGCTCATATTTAAAAGGTTAAGGAATAAATGAGTCTTAAAAACTCGTAATTGCTTTCTATTGTTTACGTGCGTTAAGTACTTTTTATTATTTAATTAGGGTGAAAATCTTACCGTAATGACTCTTAACGACATAACGCATTAAATGTATTCCTGAGCTCACGTTCTCAGCTCTAATTAGCTTGGTTTAGGTTTCATTTCTTTGATAATATTTTTGAATTATTCTAGGAATTATTCACCATGAGCAACGATTATTGTCACACAGAAGCAGGGAATTTAATAATATATGAGTCTATTAAAACTGATGAAATACTATAAAAATCATAAATCTTACATATATTGATAATATCATAAGAAATAAAATATAAATATAAACAAAAGGTTTTAAAATTTGACGTTCGTTCGACTTGGTTTGTTAACATTTTTACCCTCTCGCTGAGCTTGAAGTCTACCAGTCTGCTATTACACTCACTCCTACTAACCTTTTTTATTGTTGCCGTTTGTTTCTTAGCTATATTAAGCATAAATTTCTTCGCACTTACGCCTTATACATTTGAACAGAAAAATAACAAAATTTTAAAAGTAGCATATCAGTATACGTTTAGAATTCTCAATGCAGAGTTAAATGTTGGCATACCTTTTTCTCTTTTTTCAGTCTTTTCTCAGTTCATCATATCGAAATCACGTTCTTAGCGCTTACGCCACATAAAATTCAATTAGCAAAAAAATCACAAAATATTTAAAAACAGTATATCTTTAGAATTTTCGTGACAGTCTCGCGCGCTGGAGATAAAATGTTTTCTTTCCGTAGAGTGTTGCCACTGTTCGTTTTGAAATTGCCGAGTTTGTTAATCAAAGACTCGTTAAAGTTTTACAAAATATAAATTAGATAATAAAACAACTTCGAAATTCAAAATCGGGCTTGCAGGTGCCCATGTTCGAGTGGAGGACTACGTTATTTAAAAATTGATGGCTCTAGATACCGTTGTTTTTTCACTATGCAAGGAAAATGCCTACATTCATGCAAAGTCTTCATTATTTAATTTCTTGAAATATAATGCAAGGCGATAATATTTGGTGGCAACAATTTGAGAAGTGATACTCCGTATAGAGTTTCAACGCAAAATGCCGTTTCGAAACTAATATCCCATTTGGGACTAACGTTCCTTTTAAGTTAAAAACTAAGTCTTATTTGGGGATGTATACTTCTTATGAGCAAGAGACCTTAAATTGAAAGAATTTATTTATATTATGATTCTTACATAATGCATATTACATTCATATTACAATCAGAATTATGATGTATGTTATATGTAATATAATATATGTAATTGATGCCTTTGCATATGTAATAGCAAAAATGAAAATGAAAAGCGTCTATCTAATAATATTCATACTATTCATACTGATATATAGTTCCTAAAGCCTGCCTCGTCTAGTCAATATCTGTTTTTATGCTAGTTATATCGAAATCCCAATGCGGAAATTATGCTCGAAAAACTTAAAGCAGGAACCTTTCAAGCGCTATTTGAGTTGTATCTGCTGTGTTCAACAGTTAAATTGTCGTCGGGTTATGAAAGGGGGAGGGGGACGAGTTACGGTAGGCGAAGCTTAAACATGAAAATTCATCAAATTTTTAAGCGCCTTGCTGATACGAAAACTGCTATTTCATTAATAACTAAAGTTTTTTTGGAATGTTGATTAATATGGAGCATAAAATAAATATTCATGTTACATTCTTCACAGTTTTTCTCTATATTCGATTTTTTTTTTTACTTGTACGAAATACATAAGAGCCTAAATTTTATTAAAATATATAAATGTTCTAGTATTGAGAGAGAAAGAATTTGAGAATTTATGAAATTTCTGATTTTCATTTTTACCTTCTAAAGGTAATAAATTTCATGCAATTTTTATTTTTAAGCATTTATAGCATTCAACCCATTCTGATATATCAGAAGATTTTCTGCTCGCCCTTCTTGAAATTAGTAAACAGTCACTCAATGTAGTTAGATATTGAAACATTAAAGTATCATGTCCTGGAAAGTGACCAGTGTAGACATCTTGAACTTGTGTTATTAGTTTGCTTGGAGTAAACAAAAATGTTATTCAAAACTCATTGCATATGTTAATATTGTTATTGTTAATAACAACATTAACATATTATTATTGTACATTGTTAATAAATAGACATATTGATAACATAAGCATACTGCTAATAAATAGACATATTGATAATATAAGCATATTGCTAATAAATAGACATATTGTACTGACTATTTTACGTGTCATTCAGACATTTCAGGAGTTATTTTTGCTTCTGTCTTTAGTTTTAAAATAAATTAAAGTATCATTCTTCGTACAGATGTATTATATCTGAAATTATATACCACGAAAATCCAAAGTAATGTAAAAAGTTATTTTATGTTTGAATTGATGCATTTCTAGTTTTTTCTCTGCAAAAAGACTTACAATTATCCTTTAATTTCTTTTCAGTGCATGCGTCGCTCTCCGAGATCCGTACTGCGCCTGGGATATCAATGAAAGAACCTGCACCAGCTCCAAGAAAAGGTAAATGCTCATATTTGTGTCATAATTTGCTTAGTTATTTCTGAATTCTTTTATATGGAAAATATTAAGAATTAATCAAATAACACTTTAATTGAAATCCAGTGTTGAATCAGTTTTGTAAGGTTTGATGTAGTAGCTTTTCTTTTAATAATAATTTTAAATTTGATTAAAATTTATACATTTGAGTATAAATTTCCCTAGATTCTTAATTTTAATTTTGTTTAGACTTCGTTTTTTCCTCCATTGAATGAAACCCTCTATTTAGACTCGGTAAAAATAGGAAATAAAATGCAGTTCAAAATTTAACTCTATTATTATAAATATAAGCATTTAATTTCTTCCCTTTTACTTTATATTGTCAGGTTTTTCTCAAATTATTTAAGCGGTATTGGCAATCAGTGGTAAAGAAGTTGTTATATAGTTTCTATCATATTTAAATTCAAGAGTTGCATGCTCTGACTGCAATAATATATGGATAATTCCAGATTCTTAAGAAGTTCTGAATCCCGTACATATGTGTTAGATTGACTGGCTTTTAATCCGATGGGCAAAATCATTCTCTCTGGACGGAATCCAATGTGCGCATAGAGGAATACACATAGCACGTAGTTTTATAACTTTCAGCCATACACTTATATATATGATTTATTATAGAAGAGAGGTCTTCTTTAGCAACCACGAAATGTGATTTCAATCATCGTCAACAATACAGTATATAATGTTGTAACTGCCTGGAAAAATTATCTTTATCCGCATCACTTTCGAAAGATTTTTAATGAATATTTTCGTTTTAATTTAGAGGTTTTTGTGTTTTTTGGAAGAGGGTTTTTGTGTTATGAATGAAGCTCGGATATTTTTAGCCGCTATTTCTTTTAACTACTAATAAGTGTTTATTTTTAACGTTCTGATTCAACTGAGATATGAAAGATAGGTAAAAAGATAATGTTTCTCTTAAGAAGATGAAGTGTTTTTGAACGACATGCAACGAATAAAAAAATATGAATAGAAAATTTTTAAAGAATTTAATTATGAGGAACTTATTAAAATGTCTGGTTCATGAGTAATTGCAAAATTTTTGTAGAAAAACCTCTTTCAATGTTTCTCTGAAGACTTATTTTTACATCTTTCCACAATGCTGTTTCGCAAAGGAACTAAAAACAATGGTACAAAACCTTTATAAAAATTTCGAAATTGAGTAGTATTGGATTTTAACAAACTTATTCTTACTGTGCTTCAAAATATCTCCACTTGAGCTATTTTAGAATTATTCATGAAGTATCAGAATTCTTTCGCTTCGTTATTTTTGTCAGGCTAGAATTTTTTGCCTTAAACATGATCTCCATAAGCGTCAAATTCTCGACAAAACAATCCTCAATTTATTTCTAAATCTTTCAAAGCTTTTCTGTAGCCAATCCATCAAACTTCGCTTCATTTTTACAATGACGATTCTTTTGCTACTAAATTTTGATGCAATAATTTTCTTATTTTTTGCCTTCCTTTGTATTCCTAAAATTCGTCCATAGTTGTGTTCAATAATAATGCACCGTGAATTCTTAGGGATAACGTTTTCTCTCATTATGCATAAAAATCAGCGCAAAATAAAGAAAGAGAAGAAAACAAATTAAATTGCAACGTAATTACAACGTAATTACAAATTAATCTGAAATTTACAACGTACACCTGGAAAAGGGAATTCTCAAAATTTTGTAAATGCCTCTATATATTCGCCATTAAATTTGCAGCAAAATAAAAGCATTTTTTTTAATTTCAAAAATTTAAAAGTTATAATTTTTTTGAAAATTTCAAACTCCATGCATTATTTCCGGAACAATTTTGAGCTAAATATTAACTATTAACGCACTAGTTTAAGAATGAATCTCCTGTACATTTAAGATATAAATCATAGAATGTGATATATGAAATACGCTGTTCGAAATGGCAAAAGAAAATGACGGAAAAAAATTGTCATGTTATTTAATTTTAAATTAATGTCACGCGTATTTATTTAATGAAGCGAAGACTTAGCTAAGACGTAACTGTATGTTTATTTGTCTAGAGTGCTTACCCAAGACGGTTGCAACAAACGTTTTCCTCGAGTGACTGCATTTTTTATTTTGTCAGGATGCTAAAGCTCTTACTGAAACAATAAACACTTCACACATATTTTCCTGCAAAAAGTTCGAAAAGAAATTTCAGAAGGAAAAAGAAAACTTTTGATGACTTGTATATTATCTTAAAGGGATAATAAACTTCTGTTTCAAAGCACAGACAGTAATATGAACGTATGTGTAAGTTAAAAGCGTTTCATTTTTAATGATGAATTTGCACTTCTCTTTATAAGGTTATATTTATTCCTTTAAGATGTTCTTCCTAAAATCCTTGATTTCTGACTGTCGTTCTGCATAAACTGCTTAAGAGAGACGGGTTTCCTAAAATGTCAAGGACAAGTCTGGACCACTCTAACATTTTCTCTCAAAATAAATAATCTGTAATCTTCAGACCTGTGGTCTTGCTATGGATTTTTTTTCAGCTAACCGAGCAAAAAAAAAAAAAAAAAAAAAACCTTAATGGCAGACGTCAAGAGATTATGCAAAATGCTGGAATAACATTTGTTTTATTTTGCTGTTTTTAAATCATCCCTATCACAAGGACACAATGACGAAATACTGGTTTTAAGATAATGACTGGATTGATTGGTAAAATAAAATTTGGTTTTTAAATTCGCTTTCCTAACTAGCTTGGGAAATTCCCTGCTTTTTGTGGCTTGTCGTAACCAAATAAATAGTTTTTAGTTTCTGCTTCATGTATGAAATAAAAATATGTTTTCTTTTAAACTTTGATAAAATATGCAGTTATATATTGATGTAACGTGTGAAGCTAATTGCAAGGTAAATACATCTGTAAATTATGCTGAAAAAAGAGTTTCTGAGATTGTTTTTAATAAATATGCCGTATTTTTAGGCACTGGAATTCTTTCTTTAAAAAATATTTGGCAAACACTTTGGTTACAATCCTGATTATGAATTTACTTTAGGTTAAATTTTTGGATTATGAATTTTTTTAAAGATAGCACATTTGACTAGTTTGTTTTCAATTTGACAATAAAAGATCCTCTAAATTCTATGTATAAGGTATTTTCTCCCTCCTTCCAGTCGAATCCTGCGAACGGGCTGGCTGCTAGGGCGTTTTCGTGCTTTTCCCCATGTGTAACGTGTATACGAGCCAGTTTCCCTTAGAACGTCCTCCACGAAGGCATCCCTACCATTAGGCAGATTTTCATATCTCCTGCTTCAAAAATAACCTAATGACTCTACAGTAGCAGCGCTCGAACTAAAAACGGTGGTGGGCAATAATTCATCTCGACCAGGATTTGGCGACTGGTTTACCTAATCCCCCATCGCCCTTTAAAAGGGGGTGTATATAAGGCATTTTGCTCCCTTCTTCCAGCATACCTTCGTGGTGTAATCATAGCACATTTGGCATGTATTCGAGAGGTCCAGGTTCGAGTCCCGACGAGCGCATTGAACATTTCTCACATTTCCCGCTTCAAAAATAACCTAATGACTAATATGTAATAAAAAGCATATTTGCTTTATCGAATAGTGTAGACTTTATCCATCTTTTAAACGTTATGTAGCAGAGTTATCAAGATATTAATGAAGTTTTGGTGACACCATTATTTTAAGTACTAGACTTTCAGTTAATATGTAATTTTTAATATTTTATATTGAATAGAGTAAAAAAATCTGGCGAGTATTAATCTATATTTAAGATAAAAAAATTCTAATGTTAAATTCGTTATTATAAAACATTATTAGCTTTTTATGGATCGATTCGCATTCAATAAATCCCTGAAATACGCTAACAAATGATAATTTTATCTATTTCATGTTATTGCGTATCTCTCAAATTTGTTAAAAAACAGATGATCGATAATAGCTAAAAAGTGCATATCGTAAGTGCTAATTCTACTTAGAAGAAATCAGTCCTATTGAAGATTTGATCCAATAAAGCTGTTATTCAGAAGGCGAGATTAGTTCATATTCAGCATTCTGTTTCTTAAAATATTGATATAAGTACACATTTATAGTTCTGTGAGCTAAAATCAATCACTCTGTTGATATCTGTATAGTATCTGTTGAGAATCATTTGCATAATCATCCTCAACAAATCTGTTGAAGACAACTATACAACAACATCGAAACAGTCATACTCAACAAATGGTTCTTTCGATTGAAAAATGAACCTGAAATAGAACATCAGTATCGTTAATTTATTACATAATTTGAAATAGATATGTTTGTTTGTTGTTTACCTAAAGATATTCGTCCACTCCAGTCTTCTATGCATTATAATCTCTTCGAACGAATCATCATCGAGGCATTTAATCTTTTCAATACGCTGATTTGGTGTCCTAGCAAAATATAAAATACTGCCACTGAAATAATTTAGGGAAATGACTGTTACAAGCCCCGTACGCAAGCGATCTAGTGATCTGTATCTGGAATAATTAAGTCTTTTTTTATTCCTATATTAATTGAGTGCACAAGTCTCCATATAGAGTTAATTATGGATACTTGTCTTTTGTTACTATCTGGTTTTGTCATTTTAATTACTTGTTTTTAAATATAAATTTTTATGTTTTGTGCCTTTAATATGTGGAGGACTATATCTTAAATTCCATAACTGTTTAGCATTTCAAATGTTACCCCAAATTCTGCATGTAAAGCTGAGATTGTAATTTCTCTTTAAATTATTCTTTTTTATTTTTGAAATTTTATTAATTTCACCTGTCTTATATTGCCTTAGATATGTGAAGTTCTTCGATTTTCAGCTTTCTTATTGCAATTTTCAAAAATGCATTTATATAGATTGTTAAGGTTTTACATAACAGTAAATCATTGCCTGAGTTAGGGGATGGGTCGGTAAATCTGCTGACGAACAGCTAACTCATTACGATATTTTTTTATTATTTTCTTCCTCAACATGTGCAGTTTGGGAAATATGTTGTCTTCATAATCCTTTCTCCGTTAAGTGCCCATTTCGTGAAAAAAATATTGATCTTTTGGAAATTAGTCTGAAAAAGAGTATTAATGCATCGATTTCTTCACCATTATCGATAGAACTCAACTCGTAAAGATTACCTGCTCTGTACAGTCGCAAAAGAGTGCAAGAAAAAGAGAAAAAAATATGTCCGTGCACAGTTGTTAAATAATTGCTTCTTATCGTGTTTCTTAAGTGGCACAGCAAGATTATCTCCAAAATACAGCGGGAAATCGAAATCGAAAACTGATATGTTATGTTAGATACTCTTTTTATGGGAGGGAATAATGTATGATAAAAAGCATCCCAAGACTGTTTTTAGCACCATTTTTTAGTAAAAAAGGAAGAGCTGGACTTCATTTAAATGTAACTATGGATTTTTGATTCATTGGAAGATTGCTTGCCTTGTTATAACGTTGTCGTTCATAGTGATGTCATTTTTTTTACAATATTGGAAAAGCTTTTCGTCTTTTATCATGAAAAACGTAAACATAAATTTTCGCCAAGGAAAGGTTCATTTAGTTTTGAGGTTTTACTTGTTTTTTAATTAAGAAGGACTGTAGGTTTGGCAACAACGAGCTTAAAGTTAAGTTTTTGAGGTTTTTAATATCACTTCTATTTGGATTTTGAATTTATCGGTAAGACTATAAGGTAATTTGGATAATTTCGAAGACGACACAGAATGTTTTTATGGAAAAAATTCAATATAAAGAAAACAAATGAAGGATTAGCAATGGCAGTTTAATAAAATGGGTGGGGAAAATATTGGTTTCTCTAACCTAAGTATTTTTATTTTAAAATTAAATAACAATATGTCGAATGCGATGCTATTATCTATCTTTTAAAATTTACCGAATTTAAAAATTGCCGATTTATTTATTGTTTTACGATAGACTGGGAAAGGGTTTTGTTAGTAGAACTGATTAATAATGATTGTTATAATGTCAATAACCAATGTCAGGTTATTACTTTTAAGCTACCCCACCCACGAAGCTTCAAGTAAATTTCATGAAAGATTTACTAAATTTTAAGTTTTGGTGATGACATGCCAGTTCTGTAGTTTTCCAATTAAAATTTTCCAATATTAATATTTCCTACAGAGTTTGAAAGCATTCCTGTTTTGGAACGATTAACAAAGAAATCAATTTTTAGTAATGCCTTTAATGACGGATTTTCTAATAAAAATTAATTCGTGTATACGTTACCGAAAGCGAGTTTGAAAATAGTCCGCCATTTTTTCTAAAGCTCGGAAACAATCTATAATTATTATTATATTTTACGGAAATGATGTCGTTAAGGCAATTAAAGGTAATTTAATTTTGTTTCGCACCAAAGGATATTAAAATATTACTTTATGTCTGTATCTTTGAGTCTTAAAAGTATCTCCCAGATCATTTATCACAAGTTTGCAATTCGAGAAATTAACATATTTCAAATATGTAAATTTTTTCATACACTTTCATTAGCGTTTACAAAGTTTTTTTATATTTGAAAGATAAATTTCGGATTTTTCAGCAATATATGAATTCACAGCTTCGAATGGTTTCTGCGCTAACCTAATTTAGATATATTCTACGTCTTTTATTCTTCACAAAAAACTTCCAACATGATTTTAAAAAATGTTTGGGGGTCAAGAAAAACTACGAAGAAAATAAATTCACGATCAATCAAGCAGAAACTGTATATAGGATGTGTGAGAACAACAGGTGGGTAGTGTTGGAAAACTATATTTGCAACTGCTACATATTCTTTAAACCGTATGTTAGGCGTATTTGTCGGAAATATAATTTATTACAAACTACATTGGCAAAACATTAGTCATCTCTATGCTTGGCAATTGATGTATACCGATGTTCCAACCGTTCACCAGTTAGTCGTAAGACAAGCTGTTTAATTTTCCTGTTACTGCCAAACAGGTGTAACTGCTGATTTATCAGTAAGAAGAATTTTTTTCAGTCTTGTACATTTTAAGGTTTATATTCCTTACACAGCCGCCCAGACGGTACAGTAGCCTTACTGCGATACCGAAGGGCACGGATTTAAATCCCGGAGAAGGCATAGGTGTAAAATTGTCTGTTCCATCATAAGAGGTAGGTTCCTCCACAGTAAAAAGACCACCACTTCTGGCCTTAGTAGTGGCCAAAGCCGTTATAGGCAAGTCATTGGAAAAAAAAATATTCCTTACACATAATTTTCTCTTTTTTCAATAAGAATTATTTGAAGTCGTTTTTTTTTTTTTTTTTTTTTTTTTTTTTTTTTTTTTTTGTTTGTTTCGGGGGGAGGTGCTACAGTCCTTTTAAATCACGATTTTGACATTTGTTTCTTTCATCTTCGTTTCGTAAGGTCCATAACACTGCATTTTTTTTCATATTGAAATATATGTGATCCTCAGGGCCCATTTTGATATATTTGCTGTTAATCTTTGCTAATGTAAATTGATTGTTAAATATTGTTCTTCAATTTTTGAAGTTATTTAAGGTATTTGGGCAAATACGGTTTCTGTTCTGTCCATTTTAAATAGTATTTAGTGTCTTAAGTTTAAAATTCACAAAACTCTCTCGAATTTCGAGGCATTTATGTATTTGTGAACTGCTTATCAATTTTTGATGAAGTTGCCACTCGTGCTTTTCTATTAGTACTTTGTATGGTATTTCCTCCCTCCTTTCCGTATGCCTTTGTGGTGTAACTGGAACCATACTGGACTTGCATTCGGGAAGTCCAGGGTTCGAGTCCCAGGGAGGGCAATGACCATTATTTTACGTCTCCTAATAAAAAAATAAAATAAAAAAAAAAACTAACGACTCTACAAGTTAATTCTTTTTTTTCTTGCATCTAAAGCAAAAAGTAAAAATAAAGGACAGTATTAAAGTTTCTAAAATGAAATATTCAAGGAAAATGTCTCACGAGTTTAGAAAGTCTCTAAATAGAAATCTTAGCTTTACTCAGTTAGCTTTAATTCAGAATCAGATGCATACTCTCAATTTCTTTTTAGTTTTTTTTAAATACCGGTCTGGCTTTTCATGTCATCATGTAAAACCATACAAAATTTCCCATTTCAAACAAGCTAATTTATTTCGATAATAAAGCCTTCATTATCTGGGAATAATTTTTAAATAAAAAAAATATATCCAGCGTGAAAATAAATATCTTTAAAATTCAGAACGTGTTTAAAGCCTGTGGGCGCTAATATACGTTGTAAAGAAAGTTAAGTTTAAACTTGTAACTACAGCTTGTTTAATCTTTCTGTATTTCGGAAGAATTTTCATCTTTCCGCTTACCTAAATAAAAGCGCAGATAAAAGCTAAGTCTTAAATATAAATGTTATTGTAACTATATCTTTACAGGCAAATAATACTTACTTCCCGCATTTTAAAAATACCAATGCTTAAATATGTACAAGACAGCAAACAGCTTCAATGTGTGACGATTCGGCTTCTGCTGCTTGGATTTCTAGGCCTACGGTCCGGTAAATTCAAGAATTCATTCACCGAAACTAGATCGGCAGTCACGTAAACGGCTCAGGAAAAATAGTGCTTTCTGACGGTGCTAAAGCTCTTCTTAAATTACATATTCGTTTGTTATTTAAACTCCAACTAGTTTGCATAATGGTGAAAGCTGACAAAAGAAATAGAAGTTACCGGGAAAAATTATGATTAAAAAATGTGATGATTATAATAAACCTTATAAAACTGCATCATGACTTTTACAAAATGTTTTTTTCCAGTGGCGGGCTCTAGCCGTTTGTAGGCGTTGACCACTACTAAAGCCTACCAGATGTTTCATAACCAAATAAAGGAAATCAGCTATCTCATTTCTTTGAAAACAAAATTTTCGATTTCAGGATTGACAAAATTTTCGAGTAACATATCAACTTTCCTTTGTTTAGTTAATGAAACATGGTAAACATAGCAACAAAAACATACTTTTATTAATTTAAAATGCTAAAATGGTCTTATACCCCCATCGAAAAAAAAAAAAAAAATGAAAGCAACATGAATGAGAAATTACTGCTTTAAACAATACTCTCTGGTGTCCAGTTTATTGCATTCAGAAAATGTTACTCTTTTTTTTTGTGTGTGTGTGTGTGAAACGTATTTTTGAATCGAAATGAAACGATCGCGGTGAAATTACCTTATAATGGAGTGTCTTATCTTTTTCAGGATTGGCAAGAAAGATAAGTTCGTGCAGAACGTCGCTAATGGATGGGACACCCGTTGCCCTGAAGGTTAGTCTATTGTTACCATGGTAACAAAGCTCTGCCTATTTCCTTCTTTTCTTTTTTTCTCCCCCTTAGTTTTCTCCTCAATGATAAAAATCTTAACCCTTTTTTTATAATTCTTCTTGAGATTTTCTAATGTTTGTTCAAATAGAATACAGATTTATTTTTTACAATTATAGTATAATGTATTTAATACCTGTTATAAATATGGTATCCTTATTTATTTTTCGTATTTAAGAAATGAAATATTTATGAAAATTGTACTGAATAGCAACAAATTGATATCATGTAAAGCTTCAGATTATTTTTCTTTGTATTCAATTATATTTATGTAACTGAATGTATTGAATCTAAGGTCATATGTATTTTTAAATTAGTTTAAATGTATAGAGAAAAGTATGTAAGTGAATTTGGTTGGTTAAAGATGATAAGATAATTTTACGAGATACCGTCGGTAAGGGAATAAATTGCATTGATACATATAGCAAATATAAAGTTTGTCTTCTTCGGCAGATCATTAAAATGGAACGTGTACAGAATGTTTTAGATAAAACAGTTACAGGCTTTATTTTCATAAGTTAGAATCTCAGACACATACTTCGAACAATGTAATTCTATAAAATAAGATCTATACTTACAGAAAAGTCAGTTTCTTTATAAGCCTATGTTCCTCTAGTGAAGCGGTCGTCAATCCTTAGAACTTCACGGGCCACTACATATATAGTTTTATATTCGGCGGACCACTAATATGAATTCAAAAACACCCTTAAATCAAACCTTAAAAACAACATATTAATACCAAAAACAATATTCAACTTTCCAATACCTGTAATTCTAATTTTCATTTGTTAATATAATTTTCGAACCATTTGGTGTTCAGCAGCATGCCTTTATGAAAATTCAGAATACGCCCCTGAGTAGGAGTAACAATTAAAACACTATTAACATCTCACTGATACACATATTTCGTTCACATTAAAAATTATATGAAAAGTACAAAAATATTACCTTCTTGTACAGAAAGCTTCATATTTCCATATCACTGAAAAGGAACTTCACGAAAATCAAGAACAAACCGGCAAGCGAAAAGCAGCATCAATAAACTGAAAGTGTTATGCTGCCAATTTTTAATTATTGTAAACATAATAATCATCGTTTAGTCAGCAATGGCGCCATCGATCAACAGTTAAACAAAGCAAAAATGGAAACTTCCAGTGATGCAATTATAAGCAAGAATGCAGATGGTCCTCATAAAAATTCATAAAAATTGCCTATTAACAGGGAGACAAACTGTGTTATTAACGACTATAATAGCATATATTTGTAATTCAAAAGAAAAGAGAATTTCATTTCGCGCTATTATTGATAACAGCATCATATGAGTGGGTGCCAACTCTCACTTTCAAATGTCGCTAGATACACCTGAAAAAGTAGCTAAGAGTCGCTAAATTCAGAGTGGTCCGTGGACCACCGGTTGGCGAACGCTGTTCTAGTGCGAAAGGTCCAGTAAATATGGTATCATTAATTTTTTTTAAAAAAAGTTTATTTTTAAATTTTTTTTCTGAATTCGAACAGTAAGTTAAAATTCATCTTTTCAGCATGACTTGAAAGTGACGTAAGTCAGTGAATTCGTTTTTAAGTAACTCTGCGAATTTTGCTAAAATTTGCTTTTAGCCTATTAAAACTTATTAACATTTTACTAATCAATCGGAATTATTTGTTGCGTAACGAATATAATAAAATGCATTTATTTTATTTTGCAGATCCTTTCCATCCAGAGTAAATAAATCGTTTTCATAAAATTGTCTATCGTATACTGACAAATGTTGAAAACGAGAAACAATGCAGTGAGATGCATATATGTGCGATTAATGTTTTTTAAAAAAAATCAACTTTCTCTTCATCCTGTTTGGACAAGGTAGCTTTGTAGGGTTCCTCATTCCTTTCTGTCCAAGATGAACGTCAAGGAATCTAGTGAAATATGAAGCGACTTATCGCTTAATTCAAACATCTAAAGATGTAGACTCGAGAAGGGTCTACATCTTTAGATACCCTTTTATTCACTCACATAAGAATAACAGTCGGCCCATTCTCGGGCTTACAGGATACCTCTGCTCGGACTTTAACTCAGAATAAGAAATAAAAACCTAAACTATGATTAATTAAACGAGACTTAGCTGAAGTTAAACACAATTATCTAACGTAGTTGGCCCTTAATTTAAACTAGCCGGCAAATATCAAAAAGCACGTAAAATACGGTCGAGCGTAACAGCGTCAAGATCGACTTAGCCCAAAGACAAACACGCGCTACTAAGGATTCCTAGCACTCTGTACTGAAGTTAGTTGAACCTTCCTTAAATACTTCTTCTAACTGATTTGCATTCAACGCAAGTCTAAAACCTCCTTCTGGTAGGGAGTTGTAAGTGGAAACAAAATTAATAGAAAAGGGTTTTGAAATTAAAATAACTGTTATCAAATTAAAATATACCTTACAAAAATTTCCAGTTAATTATTAACCCTATATTTCTATCAAAACATTCACTTTGATGGAACGTTTGATGAACTTTTGCCAACGTTTTTGAAGATGCTAAAAACAGTCTTGGAACACATTCTTCGAAATATCGTTCAGACGATTAGTTTTATTTTTTCGCATCGAATGTCATGAAAAATAAATTATTTCATTTGTATTTATTGTGTAAGATGTAATTAAGTTTTTATTAAATTGTAATTATTTCTTTTTATTGCAAAGAATCAGTGTAAAGTACTGCTTAACGTACAGAAGTTGTAAATTATCGTACAATACTTCCAAGCATAATCCTATTACATTTAAGAAACATAGTTGATGCAACACAGCAATCTATATAAGATAAAATGTGTCTCCCTGTGTTTAGTTTAGTATTTATTTTTAGATGGGAATGAGATTTTTCTAACAAAAATTGTTTATTAATTTTTATAGTTTTTATAGTTTTATAATAAGCTAAGAATAGTTGTTAAAATTAAAGTAAAAAAATTAGTTAATTAATTTTAATTTCAAAAGCGCAAAGGCTTTTTATGTTATAATTAGATGCAAGATTTATGTTCGTTACTTATGTTATTGCAAGTTACAATTAAAGATTATTTTTAAATTGCCGCTTAACACAGTAATTACATTCCGTTATGTTTCTGGCTTGTAATCATTAATCTTTCACATAAAGAATATTTCTTATCTTATAACAGAAAAAAAATGAATCAATAAAATTACAATAATGAAACATAAAAGAGGCTTTAAATTTCATTCCTTTATCTTTTTTGTAATTCTATAATTTATACAGAAATGCTTTATCATAATGTTAAGATTTTTATCTTTTTATAAAGCTAAATAAAGTCTGTTGTTTTCGCCAGAAGCTCTTTTTAAAAAATTGTAGATATATTTAATCTTTGCTTAAATTTTATTATAATTTGTGATAAAAGCATATAAAAGTTTCGGAAAATAAGTTATAAAAAGATGTATCGTTGAGTAAGTTTTGTTATTCATATATCCTAGTAAGATGAAAAAGTTACCGTTAAGATTTTAAAAAAGTGTTTTTATTGCTAGGTAAAGCACAGTAGATTGTGAAATTCTGAAAATTAACTTCCATTATTTTAGATTTTCAAGCAAAAATGATAATGTATGTAATTGTAGATTATGAAAACTTCTACAATGTTATGATTCTGGCAATTTACATTTCATAACATTTCATAATATAGTGTTCCTGATTTTCGTTTTCTGCATGCAGACACTCAGGCAAGTGTTACCCAAAAAGGTTTATGCTAGTTTATGGCTTCGTTTAGTTAATAAATTCTAGGGTTTTTAAGTAATTGCAGTATTAATCTCGAGTTAAATTATAAATAATTTTCTGTTCTTTCCAGAAGTGATGCATTTTAAAAAGGGTAAGTTATGCCATCATGCCAGAATCACGAATATGCAGAATTGTTGCTGCAATAAAAATGTATTTTTGAAGCGCTAGCTTTAAAAAAACTAGCTTTAAAAATAGCGCTAGCTTTAAAAATAGATATGAGTTTTACAGGAAAATTTTAATCTTTAGAAACATTTATAAACTGGCCAAAAGCACTAATCCAGTACAATTACAGTGCCTAAGAATTCGTTGTATGGGGTCACATGAAGGACTATAATCTGAAAAAAGCGTTAAGTGTTTTCGCTAATAATTAAGAAATATTGCTAACTGAACTGGGCTATATAAAGCATTTTATATATTTTATAGACATGGCAATGCGAATGCTTGGAATAGGTATTATGATTTCACTGCGCTGCTCTATTATAAATTTTATATTGCGGATAGCTATTTATCTGGGTTGATTCGACTAGCAGGCGTTGTACTGCATCTTTATTTCTTTTTCTGTTCTTAAAGTACTCTTGCCATAACAATAAATAAAATGAGCCCGAAAGATTGCTTGTAAGTACTCCTTTCATATTTTGGTATTCAAGTATATTATAGCCATTCATGTTACTCATGGTATCATTTTTAACAGCGTTAAAAATTTCGCATATATTTTGAATGAGATTTAAAGTATTACAATGATCAAAATTCGATTTAGTAAGTAGGCGTTGTAAGCAAACGTCGGTGAAACGTTATTGGTACTAAAAACAGAACAAAATAAATGTAAGAAAGAATCTAAATATTTCATCAAGCGAATCATTGTAACGAAATAATACTTATCTTTTGATGAATGGTATTAATTATACTTTATCCAAACTTCTGCATATGCAAAACATATATGAAGATTCTGAACTCCTGAAGAAATTTCAGAAATAGATCCTCTCGACTTTCTGGTGTTCGGCACACTCATTAGCTGAGATACGAAGTTTTATCTCAAGTTCCCTTTTGACTTCTAACTATTCATAAAGGACTGAGTGCACTTACGCATATTTTCTGAAATTAATTATGCCCTTCGGCATATTTACTGGAATTAATTAAAACTGATTAGTTTTTTTATTTGTGCATTCATTTTTGAAAATATTCTATTTT